CGAATTTTACAGCAGTAATAATAAAGTTGTATATTGAGTTGAAAGTGGGCATTTTTGTTAAAGTGGTCAATTTGAGTTTAAACAAAACGATTAGGGTTTGTGTATCTAATAGAATTAGTGAGGTTGATCTAGCCCGAAATGACTTAACTTGAATGATTTGTATTGAAATTGACCGAGTTTGAATTGGTTGAAATGAAATTTAATGTGGGTAAGCTTGATTTATCATTCATTATAAACTTCATTATAAACGGATCTTCGTATGTTAAAAGAAGCCAAAGTCACAATTAGAAAGTCAATTGCTTGATTATCTCCCAACAAATAAGAAGTATGAAATTTAACTAATATTGTGTCATTGGTATAGTAGACGGACTAGACGCAATAGTGTATAGATGTTATCTACCGTTGAATAAACCTTTGCATAATTGAATATACTCCGTAAATGAATAGATAGAAAATTATTCGAATAAGGTAGTGCAATTGTGATAGCTACTGATTTTCAGGTTAGAAATTAGTAGTCAAATCTCACTATTCTCTTTTTATGAGAGATTATTAATTCCTTATTCTCTAGTAGACCCTCACCTTACCTTACCGAAGAAAAAAAAATTGAGATGAAAAATACATAAATTACTATCAATAAGTGTGCTCCTTCGATGATTAACTTGAGCCATCTTCCACGAATATGAATCATATAAACTCAATTAAATCTCTTTTAAAACGTCTATAAATCTAAAATCATATCTCGTCTATATCATTAAATAATCTTTATGATTTTTTATCCATAGATACGGAGTAATAAACAATCATGACTGTATGATCTTCTTAATTAATAAAAACCCTCCCTTCTTTACTTGTATAAGTTAAGAAGAATAAAGTACAACATTACTCCACTGACACATAACAGGAGATAAGGCAAAGTATTAATGTAATCTTACAATTACTTTATTATAGAATTAAGTAACATCCTCGTTACAATACATTATAATTACTCCAAGTAGCAGTTTAGAATAAAAAAAATTAACATCAATTGTAATTTTGACTGAGGAGACAAACAACTAAAGATGGTAATTAAATTGGAGTATAAAATTAAATTAAGGTAAGTATAATACAAAGGAGTTACTGAGAATTCGAGATCCCAATGCAATGAAGAACATGCAAAAATGAATAAAACTTATGTAAACGAGAATGAGACGAATAATCAGAAACCAAACCATAACGTAATAAGGTATGTCTTACAATTGTACAACAGCCCCACACCCCAACACCCCCCCCCCACCCACCCCCCCAATAGGCTCCCCACTTTATATTTTCTGTAAAGTGAAACATGATTTTTTAATTTATTTATTTTTTTTTTTCAAATTTTTTACTTGGTCTACATTATTTTTGAGCTAAACTAGCAATTGCATATCTTCTCGATCTTAATTTTTCATGTCTTGTTGGGGACTTGGGGGTACTTCAAGCATAGGTTTAAGTCATGTTAATTAATTACACCTATTAGTCCGTCATGAGTACTGTAATGTAAATTAGCAATATAATAACTAAATGATACAATAAGTCTTGTATAAGACGGGTGTACGTTAATATTATTGTAAAACGGTTAGTTTGAGGGTAACTTTAACTATTTTAATGGTAACTTTTATCCCTTAAAGGGTAACTTTTAATTTATCGTTAGTTTGAATTTTATTTTAATGTGTAATTTCTTATAAATTCATATACATACTTTAAAGGCAAATATGATTAATCTAATACATTATAATTTTTTTGTAAGATAAAATTTATTATTAGAAAAATAATAATTTTGTAGTATAAAGGGTAACTTCAAGAACTTTTAAGATAACTTTAACCCGTCTTACAATAAATTAACGTACACTCGTCTTTTTGGAGAATTTGTGAATATGATAAATGTAGTGTATATTGTCGATTTATGATCAAACCTATGTATGTTTGAACAGTGGGAATTAACTCGCAATCTACATAAAATAATGAATTTAATATGAATATCGAAATTGATTAAAAAAATTGTAAGAAGAATTTTATTTCCGAAAATAAAGTGAATATAGCGGGTTGCCTAAGTGTCTGCGTGATAAAAGTTTGACTTGAAATCATAACTGGCATACCAATAGGTCTATTAAATTTTGAGAATGAGTTTGGTTCAATTATATGACTAATTGCTAATTTCAAATGATTTAATTAGATTAAGGGTTGAGAGTGAGGGATAACTCAAGTATTTAGAGTTCTTCTCCCGATTTTAGGTGATCCTGGAATTGGTTCTCATTATTCGCCCTTGTGGCTCTCTAAACAACAACAATAACAAAAAAAAAAAAAAAAAGTTTAAGGGTTTTACTAAACTTAAATCCAAATTATATCTTCCGAAAATTTATAACAAAATCACGCGTCATTATGTATATATATGTTTAATATTTAATCGACAAATCAAAGATGGATCGATTAATTAATTAAGCATCAGTGACTAATTACGATGCTTGTTATAATTATCACGATCTTACAAAGAGTGAAAGATTATGAGAAATTAAACATCACGAGACCCAAAGTAAAGAAGTTGCTGCAAGTCTAGGTGGTGGATCTCAAGAGTATTTCCAGCCTCCAAGAAACTACATACTGCCTAAAGAATTAGGCATTGAATAAAATAATTAGATAAAAACAGAAATAAGAGAAATTTTAGGAGTATTCTTTATATTTTTATTATTTGAAATTAATTTCAGAATTCAAACAAAATGATGAATGTGACTAGCGAAAGTTCAAAATACGTAGTAGATGGGTTATTTTGGTCAGAGTTCAGAAGTCTTTTACCCCATTATTATCTTCTTCTGCAGGCAACCATAAGATTCAATATATTGTGTTGATTCCTTTGGATTGTAGTTAGTTAGTTTTACTATTGATGTCTTACAAATGTTTCAATTAAATGGAATTCCACAATGCTCATAACTTGTCTATTTTTTGTTAAGGAGTCACGAGTGCAAGATTCTAACTGGATATAATCTCGTGTTTTTTTTTTTTTTTTTTTTCTCGTGTATCAGCATAATACCTCGTTAACTAACTAAACTAGTTGACTTTCAATAATAAACCTATTCTTTTTCGATGGATATGACTTATGGTGTTCCAAATGGTAAAAAAAGAAAAAAAAAATGTAATCAATGCTTAAAAAATTAACTTTTTTGATATAAAATGAAGTGGTTGAATTAAAAAAATAAAAAATGCTATCACCTCACAAACTCGACAGAAAATAAAGTACTAAAGGTTATCAAATATTAGTGTCCTTGACTTCAGCTAACATATAAGATATGCAAGTGCATACCCCTCCGAAATTTTTTGGATGCAATTATATCTTATCATAGGCATTCTAGCTTAGTGACAAATGGTACTCCGTAGTATCAACATAAATTTCTTTTAATAGGAATAATTTTAATTGAATAATCATATGTTTAGCGTTGAAATTTCTTTTTGATCCCCTATTTATCGTTCATATCATGATTAAAGTATCTATGAATAATTTATTATGCTCACCTTACATAAAAATCCTGAATCCGTCACTAAGTGTTCGTTTCTTTTTCTTTTTGTCTTAGCATATTGAGGTTTTTAAGCCAAATATATGTAACAAATATGCTCAATATCTAGTAGCTTGTCTTTGATATTATTTGTGAGATATAAAATATTGCAAAGTTGCAAAAAGTATGAAACGTAGTTAGTAATAACTCTAATCATGGCAACCACATGCTTGGTCCAAGGCAACCAAACTTAGAGATTCTGTCAAATTAAGAGTATTTTAATTTTTACAATTTACTACGAAGGATAAGATAAAACTTGTATCAGAAACAAAGTACGGAGTATTAAGAACTGCATGCGGTTAAAAAAATTAAGTAATGCTACTTGAGATGTAAAGCCTTTGACTAGTCAAGCTCCTTGGGAAAATTAAGTTACTGATACTATATTGTATAACTGCATTCTTATGACACATAATTGAAGTTTTGATTGGTAAATTTGCCAGTTTTTCGGTCATTTTTTAAAGTTTTTGCTCAGGCATATTTTAATGGATGTAAGAGGAGTAATGGCACTCTTTATTGGAAATATGGTGAAGGGTACTTAACAGATTCTTATTACAGAGTCAAGTACGAAGTATATGATTATTCGATAATCATAATTAACCCTTAGGATGTTTGGTTGTGAGACGTTTGAGACAAGAAAATTTTGACCAAATAAACCTTTAACGAGAGTGTTTGATTATAGATGAATTGTAAGATACTCCGTATATTTTTAAAAACAAATTGCTAATTTTAATTTTTGAAAAACCTGATAAATGGTTACTCTATGTAACTCCGTATTTACCAAACACTTATACACTGATAATATAATACCTCCGTTAAATATTAGTTGCAACTTTGGAATATTTTATATCTTACAAATAATAGCCTAAAGTTGCAACTAATATTTAACGGAGGTAGTATAAAGAATACAAACAACTACAGTATTAAATTAGCCGAATACAACTAGTTAGAACTGCTCTTAATACAGCTAGCTAACAACTAAAAGTTAAATAGAGCTTCAATCTTTTTTTTGTCAAAAAAAGCCTCTATCTTTTTACCATGTAGAAGACGACAAATTAAGCTAAAAAAACATCGTATTCACGAAAACTTTGCATACTCCAAGCGAATACAAACATACAAATGTAACCAACTGATATACTAGTACATTGATTCTATACTCCATCAAATATACTTCGTATATTGGTTTCTTTATCCTACATCACCAATTACATCATATTTGACAATTATTTCAAGTATTAATTATTGGTATTAACAAACAAGCCTTGTATGACACTTTAATTTAGACTTTTTTACCACAATTTACATCGCATAAAAGCTTAAATAAGTAATATGCTAGCAGCTAATCTCACACGTACCATTGGCTATGTTCACCAATCTATGCTAACTCGAATATCACAAATTTGACAGCAATCAAAGCATTAGATTAGATTGATAGCACAACTGCTATAAACTGAGTGTTACCACTCCTCATAATGATAAAAATTAATTCAAGATTACAAATGTAATGTACAACGTACACATATTCCGTAAAAAAAAAAAAACAAAAACAAAAAAACGTACACATATTCCGTACAATCCATGACCTGGACCAACACCAACTTGGTTGAAACACCAAATTGGTCGAAACAACTACTCCGTAGTAAAATTTATTTCATCACCTCGAAAAAATTGGCGTGAAAAGCTATACTGCAGAAAAATTACAGAGTGTTTAAATCAATCAATCTTATTATCTAAATGAATATCCACTTTAAATTGTTTCCTCAATAAGTTAGTGTTTCTCCTGAGTCCTGAGACGTGGAAGCTCTGTACGTTAAAAAATGAAATCAATTGTTTATATGAAATCAGGCTGGCCAGTTGAGGTCAAGCAACGGTGCCACATACGGCTATTAGGATCCACAAGCCGTGGGTATTTTATGACTTCGGGTATAGGGAAGTAGGCATAATGAGTGTTACACAAACCCACTGTGATTCCACTGAAGCCAGCAAATGCTCCGTGAACCTGCAAAAACCATTCACTCTTTTTAAGTTCAAAATTTGGTAGCATATCTAAATTGCAGACAAATAAAAACGCTAAGATTGTGGTAAAAGTCTCGGTGTGTGTGTGTGTAGGTGGAGATCTGGGATCAAATCCTATATACACCACTGTTATTAGTGGCTCTTACAAATCAGTAAAAAGTAAGATTAAAGTTGACGAGTTTTGACCTTGAATAATGAAAGATTAACACAAATTGCTGCACAGGTAGGACAATAAAGCAATTTGTGAGCAATATTACAAAGGTTAGCCAAAGGTCCAGATTGTAACTTGCGGTGTTCACCACACCGACAGTCATGACAGGATAAGCTGATTAGCAGTGACAAGGTTTCATATTTCATCCCGAAATTCCACACCCTCCAACAAAACCAAATATGGGAAATTTGGAATCATAAATGTAGAGAAATACGAAGACTTACTGCATTTTGGCCTAAAATAGTGCAAAGGATTCCATCTGAGGCATTTGCACGGATTGCACGAAGCATGTAAGTAGGATCAATGTATTTGACATCAGCTGATGTTCCAAGCTCCTTAAAATATTTCTTTATCTGAGGTGTAGCAAAGTAACATGCAGTAAGCATCGTGTGATACGGAAAGATGATCAATGAAAACTTTTGATCAATGCAACAGGCTACTTATTATATAGGAAATTTACCACAGTTGTGCATAAGCTTCTGGCTAAGCAAGGGTCTGATAAACATATTTTCAACTACAAAGTATAGAATAAGCCCTAATGTCCGTTGTATTTTATAACTGCATGTAAGCAATTGATGCTCGTTTATGGATACCGAGAGAGGGGGGGGGGGGGGAGTTGGTAAAACACCCTCATTTTGAAGTACGGTTTAGGAACTTGCAACAAGACTTTGAGCCTTTGTGGTAGGACAGACTTGCAATACTTCCTTCCTCTTACAACCTCTTCTAGCATCAGTATAGAACTTGTTAATACGTCAAGTTAATACAACCAAGATTCTATAGCCCCTCAATATTTGTGGTGTAAGAGAAAGCCGATAAACATTCAATTCATAAACCTTCAAGAGTACCCAACAAACCCAAGCAACATATAAATGATTTTTTTCAAGAGAAGATCAAACGGACTGCATTTTAGCTATTAAATACAAGTGTTTATCAACAAGGCTTTGAACCTGAAGTCAACTTTGTGGAAAGAAAGAAGTCAAAATAGAAGAAACCAACACTTACCTCTTGTTGAATATGCACACCAATATCACCAAAGACAGCGTTCCCGGATGCATCAGTGGCATTACTTTTCTCAAGAAGATTCTGCATTTCACAAGAGGAACATAACAATTAGATGTGCTGAATTTTACATTTCTGGGAGTGGCAGCGCCCATTGCTGAATAAAATATTCAACTTGCATTAACATATAAACGGAAAAAAAAAAAAAAGGGAACCATCTGCCAACGATATTCATAATCCATTGATTTTCTACCAAAGTACCAATATATTATTCTCAGTTGAAATCTTCCTTTCAACCTCTTGTTCATATTGCTACAGTCATTAATGGACAGAATATTAAGATTCTTCCAGCAAAATTGTTTATGGTCACTTTCATTGGCACACAATAGATACAAACTCCAAAGACTGTCTCGTCAGGTTGACATCCATCAAAAGTAAAACCACAATAAGGAGCGTGAGAAATTCAGCAACTCTAGTAGCCAATGACAACTGGATACCCTTTTTAACGTCAAGGTCTGCCCTTAATTTACATCTTCCTACAGTACCAACCAACTATGAGTTTGTGAATTTATCCCAAACATTCGTTCAAGTTGCATTTTCACATTGGTCACATCATGGGTTCAGACTTTACTTTCCATAATCTTTTGAAAGCAGCAAACTATCAATTAGGCTGCAAACGTTTCAACAATTCCAAAAAGTAAGGTACAAAAACTCACCAGCGCAGCTCCCTCAGCTACACAGATGACAGCTGATCCCTTTGTATCAAGTAGGTACTCGAGATGCCTCAAAATACCATGTGGCCCATGTATATGAAATGGTACCTTGGATGAGTAAAAAATAAAAACCACACTTTAGTGATAGGTCATATCTTAGTATGTTAGTGTGTAATGCTTCATTTGTAGTTCAACAAAGGTACCTCTGGTATCAAGCAAATATCAACTTGGCCACTAGCAAGGGAAGCATGCATTGCTATGAAACCACTGCTTCGACCCATCAATTTTACGAGGCCAACACCACGATAAGCACTATGTGCCTGTTAATGGAGCAGTCAAGAGTAAAATAGAAGCATACACAATGTATTGGTTTAGAAGCAAAATTGTTAACCGTATCCAACTTGTGCCACAAATAAGCAACTTGAGAAAGAGATAAATCAACAAGAGGCTGATTCATTATAAGAGGTCCAACCTCAATGTATGCAGAGTTAATGGCTCTTTGTGCTTCCTCAACAGCTGTATCAAAACCAAAGGTCTTGTCCATAAGCAAAATGTCGTTATCTATAGTCTTTGGCACACCAACAACAGACACCTTCATTCGTCTTTTTCGGCACTGTAGCAAAAGAAGCAAAGAACAGAGTGAGTTCCTCCCTACACATTACAGACCCACACAGGTGACAAGCTTACAAATCAAGTTAAATGACACAGGTTTATATGTCTTAGAGTCCTCATATGAATACAAATAAGATGCTCGAGTTATGAATGCGGATATGAGAGGAAAATCGAAGGCCTGAAGTACTTTCTAGTAACCTCATATAGCATGCTTTGTTATCACAAGCACAAATAATACTTCCTCCGTTTTTTTTTTAGTTGCAAGTCTTGCAACACTTTTATTTTCACGGTCTCCTAGGCAATTTTTGAAGAGGAGAGAGATAGAGAGAAAAATAAGAGGGACCCATGTGGGTAGGAGAGAGATAGAGAGAAAGAAATGTTAAAAATGGAAAGTGTTGCAAGTAATTAACAATTTCCAAAATAGGAAAGTGTTGCAACTAAAAAGAAACGGAGGAAGTATAATCCAAGTTTCATTTTACAATACGGAATACTTGTCACCTACTATGTATTATAGAACAATTCCCACAATGTTATTTTCAAAAAAATTGAGAATGATAAATCCCTTCCAAGGACAACTTTTATAGGTCCTAATTTAGCCTTTAATAGACAATTATTAAACAATCAAGGTTGAATGGTGCAAGTAATTACTCTCAATTGTCGGTTAGAGTTGGGTGAAGTCTAATATAGTCTCAAATTAGGTCATTAATTAGCTTAAAGGCAATTTTTTTTATCATACAAGCCTCAAAAAATGCAACAGTTGCATTAAAAAAGAAATTGAAAGGTCATTACTTGGAAAAAGTGGTATGTAATAAAGGAAAATGCTATACATAGAGCCCTTAGGGCTACATATAAGCATTAAATACACACTAGAAAATTATGTAAATATAAGCAAGTAATTACTCCCTAAATGCTTATATGTATTTAATGCTTACATATAGCATTACCCTATAATAAATAGGCAGTTGACAATTTTTCCTAACATTAGTAAAGGAGAAAAGGAAAAGGAAAAATGAAGTGTTTGGTACAATATGAAGTATCTTAAACCTCGTTATGAATTGCTACTGCACCAGCATGTGTTCCATTTCCACCCAAAACAAAAAGCATATTGGTTCCTCTTTCCTGTAATCAAGAAGAAATCAGAGGCATCGATATCAATCATGGCTTCATGTAGCCTTTTTATTATTTTCAAATGATGAGATGCACGAGTGAGCAACAAAAGAACCTTAACCTACCTCCATACTGTCTACAATTTCTCTGACAGTTGGCCCACCTCGTGAAACTCCTAATAAACTGCCCCCAGAGAGGTGAATGTTCTGAACAACTTTCCGTGAAAGCTGAATATAACAGAGAAATGCATCTTACGTCAAGATACATAGACAAAAATAATATTTAATTCAGATGCAAGAAGAACAAATAGTATATTTAGCACTAACATCAAAGTCTGTCCAATTGATAAAGAGGCTGAAAAAGAAGACTTACTGGCATTTCTTTTATGCCCTTGTCTGTAAAACCACGATACCCAAATGGAATGCCTACAATGTTTTTTACACCATATATGTCAAGAGTGATTACAATCTGCACCAAAAAGAAAAATCAGGAGATATGGAAACTAGAAAGCTAAGAAACTTATTTACTGCATAACATTCACAAAAACTTCTCAAATTATTTGTTTCTTCCATGGATTAACAATGATGTCTTCAAAATTCGCTATCAATATACTTTAGAAAAACCTAATCGTAAACTTAACAAGAGAGTTTATGAGATGTATACTGAGGAGTGCACTGAAATGTGGGCTTAAGGACGTGCAAGGCAATTTTAGTCCAACGTTCTCCCCCCGCCCCCCTTTTTTTTTTTGTCTAGGCAAGGTGATTTCAATGAAGAGCACCCAGGGCGCATTGTCATGCTCCGACTCATTGTCCCCCATGCTAGCGTCATTGGGGTATGGGTGTAATGGCAACATAGGGGCACTAATCAACAACCATACACTCTAGAGCTTTATTTAAGAATAAGCGTATATTCTTAGACCTAAATGAGGGCAACATAAAAATGGGCTGGTTCAGTGCCTAAACGGGCTTTAAATGGGCTGAAACTTGAATCCGTCATATGTTGGGCTAATGAAGACCATCGTCGAGCTAATTTTCTAAGATGAAGCTTAGAAACATGATTTAATGCATGACATAAAGGTTGGTGCTATTCAAAAGGTTCTAGAGTCCTCCAGGTCACTTTTGTAGGAATAGAGCCTTTTACAAAATTTGTAAATTAGTTGGTAAAAAACTTGAATTTTCTAGGCTTTGTAGCCAGGAGGCTTATAAATAGGCACATCTCATATACACATCCATCCCAACAAACACTTGTACTCTCATCCATAGCAATACAATGCAATCTAAAAAAACATAGCTATATAACATATCAAAACCATTAGGTGGATAGATTGCATAAAAAAAAAACACTTCAATAATGGGTAAAATTACGAATAAAATGCAACAAAACACAAACGAAATAAGAAAATAAAATTGAAAAAAAAAAAACATAATGTTATTTGCTTGATTCAAATTCAAAATGTTATAAAATTATTCACTACAATACAGTCAAATTACCATAATACAAATCTAAGGTATTTTTCCATGAAAATGTAGATTTCAAACGAACCTGTCTAATGACATCATTAAGACCTGGACAAAGACCTCCACAAGTAACTATTGCTGCATTAACTTCTTCGGGTCTGAAATATATTTCTTCTCTTGGTCCTGCACGATGTACCCTAAAACAAATTGAATGTAAGATATAATCATCATTTTACTAATATGAATGGAATTCATAATTTGGATACTAAAAACCAATTATTATATAAACAAGTAATTAAACAAAATCTATAATATTATTAAAACTCTAAAGAATAATGTAATATTGTCATATGTCATCCTTACCACAATACTTATTGCTAAGAATTGGTGCAAAAGGTTTATCAAGATTCCAACCTAAACCCTTTCACTAATAACATAAATATCTTACCATCTATTTTTGTGTCCATTCATTCACCATAACAACTATTAGCCACTAATAATCTACTTTGAGTTTTCCTATTTCTTATACTATTATATTAACCATCTCTCTAAATTTTGATTCATTATATCGTTTGGTTTTGTTGTTATTGTTATTATAGTATCTAACCATATATCTATTCTCATGATTTTATAACAACCATAATTCTGAATTCTAACCCTCTTAAGATATAAAATACTTAACAACAATTCTAATCTCATACTATAATGACCTGGGACATTGTATGGGCCAAAAACTAGTAAACAATAAAATTACCATTGCTCCACCCAGGTACAATCAGGATCAATGCACTCTGCACCGGCTGAAGCTTGCGAGGAATAGCGGATGACCTGAAATTGTTAATATGAAAGAATTAGATTCATATATAATTAGACTTTTCTTAAAATCAAGCAATGTAATGCACCTTCAACAAAACTCTGTCATTATTGTTAATGTACCCATTCCATTTCTCATCTGATGGATACCCACCTGCAAAATCTTCACTCACCGGAGACCTTAAAATAAATATTCAAATAAAAAATAGTTAATAATGAAAAAGAATGAACAAAACGATCAATAACACTATACATACAACAATACATCGATTGTAATAATGCAATAAATTAGTACCTTTCTTTATGTAAAAAAAAAACAACTATCATGTCTTAACACAGCATTTTCACTTTCACGCATGTCAATATGTAACTTCAATCATTGTTATTTTTTATTTATCAATAATCTAAAAGTATTAATAATCTAAAAGTATAAAAAAAAATAAAAAAAAAATTGATATTTAAAATACATATAAAACCAAATTTAACAAACCCCATTTGACTTGGTATATATAATAGTGCAAATGTAAGATAGAAGCATATAATTACTTCATTCTTTTTAATTGGCACGTTTCTTTTATCAAATCAGCTAACGCACAATTGCAACAATTAATATCTCTAATCATCAATATGTAGAAATTATACATTAAGATGATTATAAAAGGAGATCCTACATGACTATGTTTTATCATAATCATAGATTTACCAAAGGTAGTCAAATTAAATTTTGTGAATAGTGTTATAAGTAAATAAAAAACGAAGAAGCGTCAAATTTTTAAATTTCACTAGTCATTATCATCCATAAATCCATTCTGTATCTTCCACAAAGTATAAAACACTAGTTTATACTCCCTCCGACTCTTTTTGTTCTTTCATTTCCCAATTAGAAAAGTTTACAAAATTCTTCTCATTTATTTCCATATATGGTAAAAAGTTCCTTCAATTTTCTTTTATTTATTCGATGAATTTGCCAATATTTTATAACCTTTTTTCTCTTTTCGATACAAATTTGTAAACAATTTTCCACTAATTGAATTTCCCTATACATGATTTTACATTTTAATTATCATTCTCTTTAATGAAACTCCGTATTAATTACCTTTTTTTTTCTTTTTCATTTTTTTTTTGGTTTTGAATAGAGGGATTATTTAATGTAAAATTAGAATCTCTATTACTTTTTAATGGTTTCTAGCTCATCAAAATTTTCTTTTCTTAATTTACACCCGATTCTAAATGAAAAGAACAAAAAGGATTGGAGGAGAGTAGTAAACATAAAACTCATTTAAAGATACTAAACATCTCATACCTCATTTAAAGATACTAAACATCTCATACCTCATTTTAGTAAGCCATTTTGAAAACTTATAATTGAACTATTAATCCTACATCCCAACAAACATTAAAACTCATGCAGCTGAATAGCTTGCTCTTAAAGGAAAATCACAATATAGTTGTCAGCACTCAGCAATAAACCTCACCTTTCATTCTCTTTTATCCAAACCCAACTTCTTCATATCCTTCTTAACTATTTCCATCCATGTTGGCCTTCCCCGAAATTCTTAGATCCCCTCATCCCAATCCTCTACTTTCCTTACTGATTATCTCAATACCTCCTGACCTCCGCCTCACATGCCCAAACCAATGCAATTAGTGATCTCTAATTATATCCCCAGTGTCCACAACTCCAACTGCACTTACTAATACAAAATCCTTCCATGAATACCCTATCCTAACACATCCAACTGTCAATTGTGTTCTAAATCCGTCCAAACACCCACTCGCCTTCAGTTTAATCACAAATCCTTTCAATCTTACTAAATAGTATATGCAACCATTAATTCCGCCTTTCAAATAGCCACATTAGTCTACTTATTTTCTTTCATAATTCTTACTACTACAACCAAACAACAACAAACTACTAACACACATAATTCAGTCTACTGCACCTCAAATTCACAAAATAATCAATTTCAACCACATCAAAAAAACCAGAAATTAATCCATCAAATACTCAAAACAATTATAAAAAAAAAAAAAATTACCGCATTTTGAGGCAAAATGTAGAAGGCCTAGGTTTAAGATCCTTGAAAACATCAGTAAGATGCGGCAACTTAAACCGCTGCTCAAAATCATGCTCATACTTAATCTTCCAATCCGGATCACTCAAATCGATCTCCTCCGGCAGATTTCTACTCTCCGCACAACCTAACACCGTCAAATTCCCGCTTTTCCTGACACGTGTCGGTTTTCTCGGAAAATTCAACCGAAACCCTCGGTTTCCGACGCCGGAGAAGAAATTAGTTGATTTCGCCGGCGGCGGTGTGAAATTGGAGGCGATCGGCGGCGAAAGCGTTGCCATTGAAAGTAGAAGGATCGAGAAATTGAGGGTTAAGGAGTGGAGTAGGAGAGAGAAGGTGAAGAGTTTCGTAAATTAGCGGTGGACGGAGTCGTCATGAGAGAAAGGAGATGCGCCGTCAATTATACGGAGGTGAGTGAAAAGGGAAAAAGGGGAAAGTGGTTGGGTTTTATAAAGTCAACGTGTTTGACTGACTGTTGTTTGTTTGTTACGGAGTACTGTACTTGACAAACGGCTTTGTTTTAGTTCGAGTTCGGTTTCGGTTTCGGTTTATGTTAGTCACCTTTTTTTTTTTTGAGTCTGTAGTGTATGTGTGAGACTTTAGATTTCTTCTATGCTCACAATGTTGTTGATTCTTGTGTTCTTGCTTCTTTATGTAAAAAAAATAAAAATAAAAATAAATAAACTCACATTAGACGGGTTTTGATTGATAATGTTGTTGGATTAGTCCTTAATATAATAATTTGTTTTGATATTAGAGATTTATATTATTGAATAGTATTAGATGCAAGGTGAGCATATTGGAATATTGTTTGAAATTTTAAATAACGAAATACTTTCAGGAATGATTAGATATCAGATAATCTTTATTAAATCCCTATAACACCATGTTCTTTTCTCCTTATTTTGCAAGAAAGTAGAGCATCCTCGACCACTAACTATCATATCCATGCCTACGTCATTATTGAAAACTTATAACTAACGAACTCCTGTAAGAAAGACTAAAATAATATGATGAAGATTTTAAAAAAATAAAAAAAATAGTGTGTTTGGATTGAAGGTAATGGGGGGGAAAGGAAGGGAAATGGAGGGATGAGTATCTTTCATTTGGATAACAAATGAGGAATGAAGGGAATTGAAGGGAGAGAAATGGAGGGATTAAATTGTAAGAAGTTGATCTTTTCAACAATTAAGAGATTTGGAAGGAAAACGCATGTATTATTCTCCCCTCTCCTCCCTTTCCCTTCTCTCCTCTTCCCCTCCCTCCCCTTCTTTTCCTTCCCTTTTCTTTATCCAAACAAGCTGAAAATTTATATCCCCTTCGAACACGAGTTAGTAGAATCCAAATCAATATATAAGAAAAACATACACTTTGAAATAGAATAAACAATAAGTTTGGCAAAATCTAACTTATTTATATTATCACTTTCTCTATATGTCTACCTGAAGGCTATCACATGTAAGGGAGGATAAATCATTGTGGGTTAATTGAAAGTTAAAATACATTTATATAGGAAATTAGAATCAATGTACAACCAACTTGAAAAGCTACCAATTTGAAGGCACCTACCACAAATACGCAAACAACTGCACATATCATATTAGGAAATAAAACCATTGTACTAGAACTTGATTAGACATGATTATTCCTAGTTTTTATGTCATGTTATAAACTTATAGGTACACATGATTGAACCTGATTAGCTCTTATTAGACTTGATTAACCCTAAAACTTATTTTTTAAGGTGAACAGAACACTCCCTTGTATAAAATTTCCATCCAATAATACAATGTGAAGCATGTATATATTATCATTATCAAACAACATAAGGCTTAAATTTATTGCATAAAATTTCAAATAAAGTAAGAACGGTTAAAATTAAAACCAATTTTCCTCTAAACCACATCTCATTTTAAATATAATGCAGTGAATAAATGTAGTGATTGTAATTATGTAAAAAAGATGGTGACAATTTTATCATAATTCTTTTACTTCAAGAAAGATTAAAAATATTTTAGGAGAAAGAAATTGAGAGCAAGGTACTCCAATAAATCAAGCCCGTCAGTGGGACCATGGCCCAAAATATAGACATGAGCAAATCTGTTTCAACATTGGCTCAAATATTCACAATTAAAAGCTTCAAACAAAAAACATTACATTATATTATACGCAAACTGATATATGTATTTGTCAAAATACAGAAACCATGTGCATGTAAATGCATGTAACGCAAGATATACCATGCTTCAAAGGCTGGCCAAACCCAAAAAAAACCCTTTGTATAGTTGTATTTTCCTTCTAAGTTAAGTACTCTATCAATTTGCTTCCTCAACTATAACATTATTAGTCCTTGGTCTCTTAATTTTCTTCATAGCTATGATTTTAGTTAGAGATATTTGGCGCCTAAATTTGAATAAATCAAATTTAAATGATGATATAGTGTAAATAAGCCAAACTTTAAGTCATTTTCATTTGATTATTTTCATGCTTCTTCCATGCTCTTAAGTCACATCAATTCTTTGATTCTATTGGTGTATTTAAGTTGTGGTCCATCTAACTAAAAGTTATCCTACAAAAAATACTCATCATATTTGCTAAGCTACAAAATTTAATAGCTACAAGATGGAGTTCACCAAGGTGCTCATGTTGTGTTGATCATCCTCCTGGTATAATACTATGTTAGCTTTCCTCATCTTTGCAACTTTCTACCTTTGTCTCTTTGTTTCTTTGTTGGTTTTTAAGTGTTTGTGTGTGAAGGGTGTTCTACACAAAGGCTGAGACAACCACAAATGGTTCTCTAGAAAGCATGTAGGACTGTAGGAGACCCATAAGATGTGTCTCGTGCATGCGCTGACAAAAGAGTATCATTTTAGCTCTTTTTAAATTTTGACTAAAGAGAACTAGATAGTCAAGTTAAAAGCAATAGAGCATTAGCTTAAACATTAATTTTAACAAGAACTAGCCTAATCACGAGCTTGAAAGAAATAATAATATACGGTAGTTAATAATAAGGAAATAAAAGCTATACAGTGTACTTTTTAAGTTTCACATGACTTTCATTATATTATCACATGTTTACTTTGGAATTATTACGTTATATATCTTGTAAAACTTAACTTTTTATCCGGTCTTATTCTTAACAATTAAAAGGGAGATATTCACTAAAAAAAAAAACGTTGTAATTTTCATTTTACATTCTTAAAATTTGCATGTGAGGTTGTGAAGAAGTTAATAAGAATCAAGGACACCCGGCCTAGACTCCTATTTAGTGGAGAATCATTTTGTATAAGGCCCTTCATTGTGTAACTCCATGTAATATGTGAAACCTGTATGTGATTATTCACTGCATTGTATACTTCTGCATTATGCACACCTAGACTCCTATTTAGTGGAGAATCCACATAGCTAGATAGTCAAATATTTTGTAATTATGGGCCTTTATTTAAATGGTCCCACAACTCCCATGTTAAAAATAAAGGCATACTAAACACATTTGATAAAACTATAAGAATGCCAAGAGTTAAACTAGGTGTTATGAAATTAAAAATTATGGTTACACATCCCAGTAAAATTTAATTCCCATTAATTTTGTAACTGATGCAGCTTAAGAAGAGTAAATAAAAAGCCAGGAAACAATAAGGAGATCATCAAAAACACAAAGCAAAGAAAATGCAAGTTACAAAGGCAACAACATCCAAATATCCCAAGAAGAAATTATCAAGAAAGAACTAGAGATGGACATAGAAAAAGATTTAGAGGGAGAAATCAAAGAAGAGATATATCGCCTCGCGCTCCGCCTTCATCGGCTATATCAACACCAAAGGGACAAGCATGCTTCTCATCATGTTGGTCATGAACAAGTACATAGTAACAAAATCAAGGCATTATCTGAGGTCCACATTAGTATTAAGATGGAAGGAGGGACCAAAGTTGAAATAAAAGAAATTAAGAAGAAACCTTGGGATAACAACAATATTGGCAGGGTTCAAGTTGGTAAGAATAATAAATCTTCTAAGTTGGATCATAAGAGGTTTGATTGGGCCAATAGTCTAAAGATCAGGCCCATTAAAAGCTTGTCATAATATGGGCCGTAAAAAGATACAGATTGGAAAAGAACATCCAAGGAAGGCTTCAAAGGAGAATATGTTTGTTGCTAAAAAGCAAGCTAGTGAGCCCATTAAGGGGCGTTTGGAAATTGGAGTTGGGGCTTGATCATAGCTATTGAAATTTAGCATTTGATTTAATTATTTTAAAAAGTAATTATATAACTTGTATTTATTTGTTTTGATAAATAAGCTTTAAATGTTGTGTTAACAAAACACACATGTTGGTATACAAAGTATGTGCTAGAAAATACGAACATTGAGCAATGTTTTCGGTCATATCAGAGGATTTAAGAGCACTACAATGGTGGACAAAATAAAATGTTCATGGGCATTTTGATAGAAGTAGTCTTGCAATGGTGAGCAAAAGTAAAAATGCCCATGGACATTTGTTATTTTGCCCATGAGATGAGCAAAATAAAGGATGAATAGTGCTCTGGTGGGCCCCACAATTTGCAATAGTTATATTTTTTGTAATGCAAATTCTGAAATAAATATTTATTAAAAAAAAAATTAAAATTACCAACGGTCATAAAATTTAATTCTCTATAAATAGACATGCATTTTGGTATATTTTGGTATAATTTCAGAAATACTATAAATCCTCCATATTCTTTATTTTAACGATTAAAACGACACGAATAAAAAAAAAAAGTTACACAAATTTAGACTAGTTTTTATTTATTTGGAGTAATATTGTTAAAATATAAATGAAATTAATAAATAAAGAAGTGTTGTGTAGGAGAGAGAAAGTAACGGTGGAGTATTGAAAAAGTAAGAGAGAGAGAGTAGTGGGCAAGCATTTTTTTTGCTCACCATTGGGAGAGAAATTGTGAAAAAAATTTACCCATGGGCAAAACAGATTTGTTGAGAGAGAAAGTGGGTAGAGAGATAGTGGGTGGGCATTTTTTTTGCTCACCATTGAGAGTGGTCTAAGGGGAGTGGCTTCACGTCAAGAAATGGTTTACAGATTTGTAACTAACATAGTTTTATTATTACTTTTGTTTATTTCCTTTGTGATTCTTAGTTGTTAAGAAGACTGTGAATTTGTGACTTATAACTGTTGTAAGCTTATATAATTAAAATTCACAGAAATTTTTTATATCAATTACAAGTATTATTCAATTATATTTATACTATATTGTGATTTGTAAGCTTGTATTCATTTCTATTCAACGACAAACATAAAGTTTAAATCCTACCCACTTTTTCATTTTCATCCAATTTTATTTTCTTTGCATTTTCACTTTATACCATTTATAAAAATTCTTAAATTATTGTAGTTGCAAGTTTGAAGGTGGGTGGTGAGTTAACACTGTTTAGAGTACGTGATTGAAAAAATTGAATGAAGGATGGTTTGGATGATTAGTCATTGTCATAGAAAAAGTTTGCGGGTAAAGGTTACGACATATCCAACGTGGGCCGGAAAGAGCGAAAGGTAGGTCCAGAATTAGAAAGGGAAAAAACACTAGAATGACCCAATTAAAGCCCACATGAAACGTGTTGATGGGCCCTGGGCCCATATACTGTGAATTACTAGCTTGTAGCAGCTAATGATTTCCCCCTCCTCGGGAGCTCAACAATAGTCATGCTTCACCCCTAGGCCCTACCCAAGTCCCCCATACTCATCCACTTTGTAAATGACATTGAGTAATTATTATAGGCTCGTAGCACAATCCTGTCCTTAATACTCCCTTCGTTTCATTTTGATTTAATTATCATACTAAAATGTAGAAAGTTATTTGCATCTTGTGCTAAAATGTTGCATGTAATATACATACTGAACTCTTATTGGATTATTTAATAACACGTGCACGTGGCCACATGAGGAGCACAGGCAC